GAGGGGACTGGAGCCGAGGTTTTTGATGTGTGTGTGGCATGCTGTGTGGGTTGGACTCTGCTTGCCTCTAGCGCCACGTGTGGGGACTGGCGGTGAGGAGGAGGGGTGGGCCATGGTATGCACGGACTGGCTGGTGTCAAGGGAGAGGGGACTGGCGGTGAGGAGGAGGGGTGGGCCATGGTATGCACGGACTGGCTGGTGTCAAGGGAGAGGGGACTGGCGGTGAGGAGGAGGGGTAGGCCATGGTATGCACGGATTGGCTGGTGTCAAGGGAGAGGGGACTGGCGGTGAAGAGGAGGGGTGGGCCATGGTATGCACAGATTGGCTGGTGTCAAGGGAGAGGGGACAGGTGGTGAAGAGGAGGGGTGGGCCGTGGTATGCACGGACTGGCTGGTGTTAAGGGAGAGGGGACTGGCGGTGAGGAGGAGGGGTGGGCCATGGTATGCACAGACTGGCTGGTGTCAGGGGAGAGGGGACTGGCGGTGAGGAGGAGGGGTGGGCCATAGTATGCACAGATTGGCTGGTGTCAGGGGAGAGGGGACTGGCGGTGAGGAGGAGGGGTGGGCCATGGTATGCAGGGACTGGCTGGTGTCAAGGGAGAGGGGACTGGCGGTGAAGAGGAGGGGTGGGCTATGGTATGCACAGATTGGCTGGTGTCAAGGGAGAGGGGACTGGCGGTGAGGAGGAGGGGTGGGCCATGGTATGCACAGACTGGCTGGTGTCAGGGGAGAGGGGACTGGCGGTGAGGAGGAGGGGTGGGCCATAGTATGCACAGATTGGCTAGTGTCAGGGGAGAGGGGACTGGCGGTGAGGAGGAGGGGTGGGCCACGGTATGCACAGACTGGCTGGTGTCAGGGGAGAGGGGACTGGCGGTGAGGAGGAGGGGTGGGCCATAGTATGCACAGATTGGCTAGTGTCAGGGGAGAGGGGACTGGCGGTGAGGAGGAGGGGTGGGCCATGGTATGCACGGACTGGCTGGTGTCAAGGGAGAGGGGACTGGCGGTGAAGAGGAGGGGTGGGCCATGGTATGCACAGACTGGCTGGTGTCAAGGGAGAGGGGACTGGCGGTGAAGAGGAGGGGTGGGCCATGGTATGCACGGACTGGCTGGTGTCAAGGGAGAGGGGACTGGCGGTGAGGAGGAGGGGTGGGCCATGGTATGCACAGGTTGGCTGGCATCAAGGGAGAGGGGACTGGCGGTGAGGAGGAGGGGTGGGCTATGGTATGCACAGATTGGCTGGCATCAAGGGAGAGGGGACTGGCGGTGAGGAGGAGGGGTGGGCTATGGTATGCACAGATTGGCTGGTGTCAAGGGAGAGGGGACTGGCGGTGAGGAGGAGGGGTGGGCCATGGTATGCACAGATTGGCTCTTGTCAAGGGAGAGGGGAGCCTTTCTGCAAGGCAACGGTGGGTATACTGGGGGGGGTGGGGTGGAGTGTACACGGCGGTGCCGTGGGGGGAGAGGAAGAGAGAAACTTTGGCTCTGCTGTGGGTAAGCTGCATGTCTGGGGCATCGGGCAATGGGAGTTGCTCGCGACTGGTACGCGCGGTAAGTGGCTGGTGGAAGGCCAGGTGCCGGGACGTGGTTTCTGGTCACCATGGCGACCTGGGATTTGTCAAGCCCTTCCCCCCTCATATATCCTGATTCCCCCCTCTATACATCTCCCCCTCTCCTCTGTATACTCCTCCCCTTTTTCTATATGCACCCTGCCCTGGGTTTGGTCCTCCCCCCTGTATACACCCCAGATCTGGTTTTCCCCCCTGTGTGTGTATACACACACTCACACACATACCAGGCAAACATACAGCCCAGGCAGCTCCATCCTCCACCAGAACACCTCCATCGCATCAAGCTCCTGCAGGGAATACTGCCGGTCCACCTGTTTCGTCAGGTGGTGGTCACACGGGGCGGCACACAGGCCGCTGGGTCCTCACCTCACCCCCCCGCCTCCTACCATGTACACACCAGGGAGCAAGGCCAGCTTTTCGGTGATGTCCCTCAGGAACAGCAGGCAGCAGCAGAGCCGGCTCACTCTCGGACCCTGCTCGGGCAATGGGGGTGGGGATAGCAGCCGCCTGAGGCCACCTCGACTCTCACTCACATTGGGCCTGACAGCCAGACATCGGATTACAGCTCAGCCTACTGCCTACTTCCAGGAAAACTGGAGACCAGCAAGGGGGAGAGAGGATCGGTTGCCACGCGCCCTGGAGCTGCATGGCATAGAGCAGTGGGAGTTGCTGGTGTGAGCGGGATGACGGGTGCCAAGGCGCCAGGTTGCGATTTCTGGTCGCCATGGCAACCTGGCATCTGGAATTTGTCGAACCCTGTGCTAGTACATCCAACACTCCCCTCACCCCAGAATGACAATGCTGCTGTCCAAAGGTGCCCCTGTGCTTCTTGATCCAGAGCGGAGGCACTCTAATACAGGAGGTGTGATACTGGCCAGCTCACCAGGTCAAAAACAGAGGGACAAAAAAGCCTAAGAGAAGAAAATGAATGCAGCCACCACATTTAATGATTGGTGAGCTGCACTAGATTACATTTTTGGTTTTGCATTTAAAACTACTTTAACTCTCATGGTCTAATTGCTATAAACTAAAGAAAGGTAACTTAATAAGTAAGACAGAGGTCATGATTATGGAGAACAGGGTAAAGAGTTTCTTAGAGGATTAGAGCTGGAGTGTGAAGTATGCATATAATACCTTCACTTGTTCCCTCTCCCCCCAACCCCCCCCCCCCTTTCAAAATTCAAATTTCAATCAATTCATACGGTTTTCAGGAAACAATGCTTTTGAGATACTGTGACATCATCACTGGATCTTTCTTCTGCTTTTTGTTTCAAGTTTAGTGGGAGAGGTGGGAGGCTCCAGTAAATATCTTGGCACCTTGACTTGGATCTTTCAAACGTCCAAGTGTTATGTGACAGAAGACATCCCTTCAGACTTGTATGATCCTCCCTGATGGCCACTGTGTGTAGGCTTCAGCTGTGCAATCTGCTGATCAGTTGCGGGATTTGCAATCAAGCAACTGAATAATAGATTGCACAGCTAAAGAACACCAGTCACTGCTAGAACACAATTGTTTTCTATGAACTATTCATACCTGAACATAACCTGGAGCTCTGCAGCAGTGAGCTGCAATAAATTGCAGACATGCTGCATTTTATCGCAGCGTACAAGACAGGGTCACGTCACTGTACAATAGCGCAGTGCACCTGTACAGCGACATGACTGAATAGTACATTGCAAATAAAGTGGAGTAAAAAAATGAAACAAATAAGGGAACTGTGTGATGCGCATTTCAGCGCATCACACCACCCCTACCCCTGGCTCACTACACACAGCTTTTGCACTGCTGTCGGGGCAGTGTGAACAGGTCATAAAGGTTAGGTTCAACTTTTTTTGTTTTCTAAATTCCAACTCCCTTATGTACCAACACACTATTAATGTGTATCTTTTGTAGAAAAGAAAAAAAATTTCTGTAATATCTTGGTCCAGCCCTTACCTCAGCATAGTTTGTTGCATAACAAAACTTCTCCATTACATCCTGGACATCCCTTAGGTTGGGAAAGCCGATAAGACAGAGGAAGGAATTCACTTCATTAGTGCACACACCCAGCACCTGTACCCCCCTCCCCCCCTCTCTCTCCAGGACATGGTTCCCACCCCCCTCTGTGCACACATACAGTCAATGTCAAGGAACAACATTCTCACTTAATACACAGCCATAATCTAGGTTCACACCTCTGCATTTTCTGCTGTGTTTTGCACAAATGCACAGCAGTCCATTTAACATGATTTCCTATGGGACATGTTCACATCTCCACGTTTTCACCTGGTGCAATTTTTTGGAAGTGGTCAGGGACTTTTTTAAATGCAAAACATTGCCTTTTTGGTTCTATAGATTTCAATGGAGACGCTGCAGAAAAAACATGTAGCAAGTTTTGGACGCATTTTATTCTGCCTAGCAACAAGTTGAAAAAAAAAAAAAAAAAAACCACAATGCATCCAAACGCAGCAAAACCACATGTGCAAAAGTGCACCTCAAAAGGCACTGCAGATGCAGATCAAACACAAACTGCTAGTTGTGAACCTAGCCTTAGATCTACCATCAACTATATAGTGAAAGGGCCTGCCTGATTGGATACAGAGTGATTCAATAGATGGGGAGTCCTCCTATTATATAGTTTTGGCAAATCTAAAAGGAGATTGTACAGAAATTGTACAATCTAATTGTATCATGTATGGCCATCCTTATTGACTTAAAATGAACTAGTTGCTCTTTCGATGCCATTAATTGTTAATGGAACCCCAAATGCACATACAAACACACATTTGGCATAAAAAAAAGTAACAAATGCAGCAAACCACCCAGTAAAATAAAGAAAACGTGCAAATTGCAAAAATGTACCATGAGCTACTTTGCCATGTGTAGGGAGGCCCATTGAAATCAATGGGCTGCCCAATGCATGTCACGGGAAAAATCCAAAAAAGCCAAAACCATGCGTTCTCATTACATTACGCTAGGTGTGAATGAGACCTGAAAGTGAATCTGAACAATGAGGCTCCATTTACATCTGCTTGTTTCCAAATGCATGGCAAACTGCACATAAAATGTGCGCTTTGCCATGCATTTCAGAAATGCGTTACAAATACGCATCGTGCTCGAATTGTCATTAAAAGTTGAAGGCACCCCAAGCACGGGTAGCCGCCATGTGTTTGCCTGAGACCAGCGTGCTGCAAACGCACCAAAAAGTGCAGTAAAAACACACCACGCTCTGCTCTAAAAAATTTCTGGAGCTTCTTTAGGGCGATTGTTGCATGTAACGTAGCACATTCACGTGAATGAGCTGCCATATGCATGACAAGCGAAAATTCTCAAAAAAAAAAAAAAAAAAAAAAAAACCCCATACGGGAATGTGATTTCCCACTACAAGGAGATGTGAACAGGCCTGGCAACTGGGTGTCTCTGTCCACTCCCTCCTATGTACTTGTATAAAGATGGCCATACACTCAAAGTCCTGAGCCAGGCCTTAAGAGTTACTCTCCACCACCAAACACACAGACAGAGACACCTGTACACACACACAGACATGTACACACAGGCACAGAGACACATGTACACACATGTACAGACACATGTATACACACACACAGGCACGTACAGACACGCATACACACAGATACATGTACATACACAGAAATACACATGTACATACAGATACACACATGTACATGCATACACAAACACACATACACCCCCTCCCATAAAAAGTTGCAGTACTTCGTTGTTCACTCACAGATCCGGGTACTGCACTCCAGGGGGAGGCAGAGAGCACAGCACACACGCCTTCCTTTGCTTTCACTGCGCTCAGCTATTGAGTAGTCTGACGGCTCCCAGTGCCAATGACAGATCCGGCCCTGAGTTCCGAGCCTGCTCAGCAAGACGGCCTTGGGGGACACACTCGCCCCCACCATAATTTCCACTCGCGAGCAGGCGAGTAGAAATGTCAAGCCCTGCGCTATGCAATCTTATTGTACAAATCTCTGTGCAATTTCCTTTAGATTTACCAGAACCATGGAATAAGAGGACGCACCTGAACAATCCATTCAATTTGTATCAAATCCGACAGGCCCTTGCACTTGTGATGGAAAGATCTAAAGGAGATTGTACAATCAGATTGTACAGAATGTAGGTGGAAAACAAAACAAGAGGCGGTATAATAATAAGAGAGGTGTGGTCCAGACAGGTGAACATACCCTATCATGCCCCCTTCTGTGATGCAGCAAGCCAGGGCATGATGAGATATGAACTACAGGAAGTTATGGAATCAAACAAGCATTTTTAAAAGTCCAAATAGACAGACGAAAGTTCAAAGCTGCTATATATGAGGTAAGTGAGAGATAAACACATTTGGATGGCTGGGCCAGAAATGACATTTGAAAACTCTTCTGTTCATTATGAAAAGTGAAATTCTGCTTGAAAAGGTGAACTTAGCCTTTAAGGAATGTCTTTGATGTGTTCTTTCATATACTGCTTGGGAACAAAGAGATGGTTGGCAGGGAAAGCTAATAGCTCTGACAGATAGGCAATGACGGTACAGAGCAGGAGGAGAGGGTATGACCGTGATTGAAGTCATTCGGACAGAAAATGAAGGCACGCTCATGATAGCTGCTGCAGCTTCAAACACTCATACCAAGGAGATGCAGGTTTGCATCTAGGTGACCTGCTACAAGTATGGAAAAGAGGTAAGGCTGGACACCAACTTTAAGGCCTGGTTCACACCTATGTGTTTTTTATACAGAACGTGTTCAAATCTATGTGTTTTCAGCTGCTGCGTCTTTGGAAAGAGTCAGGGACTTTTTTCCCCCGCAGTAGATTGCGTTTTTGATTCTACAGACTTCAATGAATCCACACCAAAAATGCAAGTGTTGCTTTTCGATGCATTTTTGCATTTTTTTTTGGCCAATAGGAATGTATTGAGGTTGAATGATGCAACTTTACACGCTCTGACACAAGTCACATCAAAGTCACAACAAAGTAGTGCAGAAACATTTTCAAAGTTGCTGCGACTTTGAAAACGTTCCTGCACTACTTTGATGCAACTTTTAGTGCCAAATTGCATCAAGTAGTGCAGAAACATTTTCAAAGTCGCAGTGACTTTGAAAAGGTTCCTGCACTGCTTTAATGTGACTGAGTGCCAGAGAGTGTAAAGTTCATGGATGTTCAGTTCATGTTGCCCGATGCCCGGGACATGTACTTTTTTTTTACCTTTAGCCCTGCTGCGGGCAAACAGCAGGGCTCATAAGTCAGGTAAAAGCATTTGGGCGACAGTGCTGCTTCCACACAGCCCACTATGTTTCCAGCCTCTGCCCCGCTGCCCGCTATGTCTCCCAGGCTCCGCTTGCCCATGTGCAGGCCCAGGACCAGTTCATTGGCTGCCAGCAACTATATGGCAGGGAGGAGAGAGGACACATCCGCTCCCCTCCCCGTCCTGATCCGGAAATTATGGGACGTCACTTTTAGGTCCCCGTTGACAGATTTCCCAGCGATCGAGGCCAGGAAAAAATGTAATGCGGTGCGATGTGCACTGCATTACATTCAGTGTAGTACAGGGAAGACATGCAGAGTTTTTTAGACCCTGGATGTCTCAAAAAAAAAGAGAACCGGTCACCAAAAAAGTATAAAAAAAAAAAAAAGGTTTGTTTTTTTTTAAATGAAAGTTACACACAAGCATATAACCCCCCCCCCCCCCAAAAAAAAAAAAAATTTTTCAAGGCCCCCACACCCACATATGCTCGCACGTACAAACGTAAAAGCACACGTTGGGGCACCTATGCATGTAGACAATGACTGCGATACACATTACATATCGTCGCGCACGCCAGAATCAGAACAATAATTCTAGCACCAGACCTTCTCCGTAACTCTAAACGGATGACCTATAAAGGGCTTTAAAAGTGTCACCTATTGAAAATATAGGGTTACTAAAGTTTGTCGTCATTTCACGACCGCATGCAAATTTAAGGTTTGACATGTTGGATATCTATTTACTCGATGCAACCTCGTACTTTATATGTTATATAAAAAAATTGGATACTTTATTGCTTTTTGTGCCCTAAAATTAACTTGTGTACTTTCTACTGAAATTTTGGGTTTCTTAGACCTTTGTGATAATATTGTGTGACATAAAAAATTGAAACTACCACTATTTTATTCTCTAGGGTCTCTGATTTTAGAAAATACATAATGTTTTAGAGTTGTGTCATCTTCAGGCCTTGAATGGTTTTTTTAAACGTGTGGAAAAAGAGCAAACACAAAACTGGCAACGAAAGGGATAAAGGATAAGCCCGACACTCCCCTTTCCTGACAAGCACCCAATCAGTGCTCATTATACTGCAAGGTCTCTCCCCTCCCTGCTAGTCCCCAGGTTCGGTGCTGGAGATAGGCAGAGAGGGGAGGAGGAGATAAACAGTGCAATGTTAAAAATATTAAACGTTTAAGTCACCATAAATCCCCTTTTGTTTTTAAAAGCCCCAGCCATTACTTAAAGCAGATTTAAATACGGTTTTGGTTAAAAAAGTGTTTTGTTTTGTTTTTTTTATCTGGACAAGTAGATTGTCATGAGGGACAAGTAGATTGGGGCACCGATTTAGTCCCTGGACAAGTAGTTTTTTAAAAAATTGCCACACCTCTGAATTGCTTCAAAGTCGCACTCAATACTTATCTACTAGCAAAAAAAAAATAAATAAAATGCAAAAACCCTTCAAAAACACCATACACCATTTAAAATGCAAAACGTGCTGGGAAAATTAATCAATCAATCGCAACAAGCATAGGAGTGAACCAAGCCTAACACCTTCCAAAGCTTCCTGGGATGGATATCCCGGTAACGTAGAGCCCATTCAAACCATATACATTGGACTGCACTGGGCAGACTTGCCCAACACAGTCTGAATGCATAGACAAGGCAAATTTACGTATGTCCTATATTCTCCTATTACGAAAAAAAAAAAAAAGTAGGACAGGCTATGGCACTACACTGCATTGCAACATGTTGTAGTGCATAAAAGATAACTATTATGTCAATTTGTGACATTTCAATAAAATTACCGAAAAAAAAAAAAAAAAATGTAAGCAGTACAATGTGTTCTAACAACGCATAGCACCTTCATGGCACACACCAGCAGCTAAGCGGTAATTTGTGCTTCTGAATGGGCCCTACACCCCTAAGTAATCCTAGCAACACTATGAAGAATAAAAAAAAAAAAACATGAAAAGAAAGATAGAGTGCTATTACTAGGGAAGCGCCAAAACCCCTTTCGGCCGATATGAAAAAAAGCACCAATACAGCTGCTGAAAAAAACCCCGCCCCTCGCCGCCGCTACTCAGTTCTCAGCCTTACCTGAGAATTCATCGAACAATCTGGGCGCAGGGCATAGAGATTAGTGGAGGAAAGATGGCCTCCGCTCATCTCTATGTCCTTGGAGGACCGGAGCAATGGTTCCGGCCATTTTTTTTTCCTTTCTTCTTTTTAAAGCACTAGATCAATGCTTTTTTTGATCCAATGCTTTACATTGCAGAGGAGAGATGTGGGGTCTTATTGACCCCACATCTCTCCATAAAGAGGACCTGTCACTAATTATTTCTATCACAAGCGATGCATGCATTTCTTGTGATAAGAATAAAAAGCGATTCAAATTTTTTTTAAAAGGGACAGTGCAAAAAAAAAAAAAAAAAGTAGGCGATGCCCACATATGTAAATGGTGTTCAAACCCATACATGTGAGGCATCCCCACGAAAGCCAGGGCAAGAGCAATAATTCTCGTAATAAACCTCCTCTGTAACTTTGCATTGCTAACCTGTAGACATTTTTAAAGCATCAGCCATGGAGATTTTTTAAGTACCGCAGTTTCATGCCATTCCACGAGCGTGCGCAATTTTAAAGTGTGACATGTTTACTCGCCGTAACATCCTCTTTCATATTTTACAAAAAAATTGGGGTATATATATATATATTTTTTTTTTAATCAAAGTGTATTTTTTTCCAAAAAAAATACATTCATTTTTAAAAAACTGCGCATTTGGTTTTAGTTTTCGACTAAGTGCATTTTGAATTTTCAGTTTTGGCACCAGAATTTTCATTTCGGTGCACCACTAGCTATCACTGAAGAAAATAGAAGAAAGAAAGCCAAACTTCTTCAGAAATCAGACAGTGGAATACGGTTATGCTGACACATACCAATTCTTTGGAAATTTCAACCACAAAAATAATATTACTGTCACACCCAGCTTTAATGAAAAGTGTTGGGTTGGTAGAGGACTGTCTGAAAATGGCCATGTGTATGGCCACCATTACAGCTTGATCATACAAGTCTTCTGTCTACAAATGAAGCACTTTATGCCAGCACTGCTTATATGCAAAGCAGTCATTCCACCAATAACTATGGAGCAGTGGAAATATAGGCTTTATCTCCTGTCTGTCCTCGTCCTGCATTCTGATGGAGATCCGATATGACATCTAAGTGCACACAGCAGTATACCCCACAGAGACAAATACAGGTCCTATTGGATGCACTGTTTAACCACTTGCCTTCCACAGGATTTAACCCCCTTCCTGAGCAGGCCATTTTTTGCGATACGGCATTGCGTTATTTTAACAGACAATTGCATGGTCATGCAATGCAGCACTCAAATCAACAGTTATGTCCTTTTTTCCACACAAATAGAGCTTTCTTATGGTGGTATGTGATCGCCTGTGCAGTTTTTATTTTTTGCACTATAAACAAACCAATATTTTTTACTTTTTGCTATTAAACATGTCCAGTACAAAAATTTTAAAAATCAAATTTCGTCATAAATTTAGTCCAAACTGTATTCTGCTACATGTCTTTGCTAAAAAAAAATCCCAATAGGTGTAAATTAATTGGTTTAAGTGACAGTTATAGTGTCTACAAATAGTAGTATATATACTGAAAATTTTTTTTTTTTAATACACTAGTAATAGTGGCGATCAGCGACTTGTAGCAGGACTGCGGC